ACCAACTTGTAGGGCTTGAAAAGCCCTTTAATTTGATGTATATAAGTCCATATGTCCAAAATCCGAGATGTAACTCATTTTGTCAGCACGCCTCACATATCTTTGGAAAGTTAATTGAGCGTTGATGTTCACGGATGTTGCCGCCACCCGAGCAAAATTCAAAATTTCCTACCAACTGAAAATATTAGGTGTGTCCAGGGCGCTCATATGATCTTATGCTGTTGAGAGCGCCTTAAAACACTTACCAAACCCCCCCCCCAAAAAACGGATTTTGCCAAAGCAATAGAATGGAAATAATGAAACAATCTTACAGCTTTGTTCAGACAGTAGATGTTTCGGCGATATGTCCAAATTTCTTCACCAGAAGCTACAAATATATTGGGGAAGAGTTATTACCGATTCACAACCACCTCATGTACCCTCACGACTCACGGGCGCAAAGTAGTCCCATCAAGTTGTTGTCATGTTAGTGCACACACAGGTGTTATATGTATGTCATTAAATCACTACATCTGTAATGGAAGACTCATATGAATGAATGTTTGCATTGAAACAAAATGAATCCAATGCAAATTCAGGAATAGAATTTGTTGAAAGTATTTATCCTCAGTGTTAAGTGGAAAAGCCTATCGGTCTATCTCTTTCTTCCTTCCTTGTGTCCAGTTGGCGGGTGCTCTGGTGTGGTTTGCTCCTTCTTTCCTATCAAAACATCTTATCGTCCTGATCTCTCCTCCTTCTTTTTTGTGTTTGTTACTCTCTTGTAACACCTCAAATCTTCGGCACTTCTATGACCTTATTGTGTTGCGAGTGCCGTAAAACCTCTACTAAAACTAAACTTTCTTGTAACACCTCTAATCTTCGGCACTTCTGTGACCTTATTGTGTTGCAAGTGCCGTAAAACTCTTACTAAAACTAAACTTCCTGGTGTCCTCAGGTGGACAGATCAGTGACGGGCCTGGTGGCCCAGCAACAGTGTGTGGGCCCTCTACACACGCCTCTCGCTGACGTGGGGGTGGTGGCGCTGTCGCACTTTGACACGGTACGCTCGCTCGGGCAGTTGGTTGACAAGGGTATAGTTATAGTCTAGAATAGTCTAGAGTTGTCTTCTCTCTCTTTTTATTTTTGGATCTTCAGAATTGCGTCGGACGTCTAGAAAAAAAAGTGAGTAAACTTAAGGAAAGATTATCACATTGGTTGAAATGTGAAACTTGCCCAAAATGTCTCAATGCAAGGTGATTTATAGAATTCTTGCGTTTTTGAAAGACAAATCCTTCCCCCCCCTCCCCCCACCTCCCCCCCCTCCAGCTTCACCAGGCTTCACATTTTGATGATTTTGAGAAATCTTAGTTTTAATGTTTTTTGTTTTTGTGCCTCCTGTCCAATAGAAGGATGTAACATTTTCTTCTGTTGATTCTTACATGGACTATGCCATGAGCAATGTTTTTGTGGGTGGTTGGCAGGTGCTCTGGTGTGGTTTGCTCCTTCTTTCCTATCAAACGTTTATCGTCCTTATCTGCCCCTCTTCTTTTTCTTTTTTATGTTTGTTACTCTCTTGTAACACCTCTAATCTTCTGGCGCTCATATGACCTTTTGCATTTGCGAGCGCTGTAATACCTCTACTAAAAGAACTGTTTTCTCCCTTCGAAATTTTCTGATAAACTGTAGTGTCCTGAAACCCTCTTACGGTGGGACTCAAAATGTTTTCTAAAATCTGACCCTATTGTTCTCCTTCCTCCTCCACAACACCCCCCCCCTTTGTCTTCATTTGCTTTTGTCTGATGGGTGGTTGGCAGGTGCTCTGGTATGGTTCGCTACATCTTTCCTATGAAAACATCTATCTTCATTATCTCTCCTCCTTGTCTCTGTACGTTACTTTCTAGTGACACCCCTAATCTTCAGTGCGTGTTTGCCCTAATTGTGTTGCAAGAGCTGTAAAAGTGCTACTGACTGAAGTGTCTTTAGGCCATTCCCAAAGGGGGGATATTAACATCTTATACACAGTAGAATTGTAAATGGGCTGATTTATCAATGTCATGCTCATACTGTGCCGGAACAACATAGGGGGAACTGCTGCTTTTTCTTTCCTGATCCTTACTATCGTCATTTTTCCTCTACCTCTTTTGTATGTTTGTCACTCTCTTGTGACCAGCTATTTTCGGGGTGCCTTGATAGTCGAAGCAGACTTTGTGCTGTTGAAGCTAGAGAGGTAAGCTGAGTAAGTCTGATTCCCTGTAAGGACTTCTCTGTTGACATCCACCCCTTGGCGCTTGTATGACCTTATGCAGTTGCGAGCGCCGTAAAACCTCTACTAAAACTAAAACAATTTTTTTTCTCGTGTGTGCCCACAGGTGGGAGCTGCGACGGCCATCGGGGAACAGCCGGTGAAAGGTTTGCTCGACTCCGCGGCTGGAGCCAGGCTGTCTGTCGCTGAGGCGCTCACCAATCTGATGTTTGCACTCGTCTCAGACATAAGGGTGGGTGTACACTCTACATCTTTCCAGAATTTTGAATTACAGAATTGTCAATGTCTCAAGTTTCCCAAGAAAGTGCAGGGCAAGCAGACAGGTCACGGCAAAGTAGACTGGAGTGGATAAATGTTATTTCTTTTTAAAGGTAGAATTATTTTGGTTGCTTTTTTTCATAGTGTATCCTGCTCAGAAGGATAGTTTTACCTTCGGAAGGATGGAGGGAGCTACTGGTTGGCGGGTGCTCTGGTGTGGTTTTCTCCTTCTTTCCTATCAAACATCTATCGTCTTTATCTCTCCTCATTCTTTTTCCCTCTATGTTACTCTCTTGTATCACCTCTAATCTTTGGCACTTATATGACCTTATTGTGTTGCAAGTGCCGTAAAACTCTTACTAAAACTAAACTAAAATCTCGTATATATACGAAAACCCTTCAACAAAATTCTTACGAAAACAAACGTGAAAATACGTGCAGGACGTGAAGTGCAGTGGGAACTGGATGTGGCCGGCCAAGCTGGAGGGAGAGGGCGTGACCCTTCTGGAGGCGTGCGTGGCCATGTGCTCCTTCATGGAGGAAGTGGGCGTGGCCGTGGACGGGGGCAAAGACTCGCTTAGCATGGCTGCCCGTGTGGGGGACAAAGTGGTCAAGGCACCAGGTGAGTAGATACTTACTGAACATCGGGAGGGGGGTTGTTTTTTTAATACACTTTTTTTACAGTCAGAATACTGAGTGTGTATCTAGCTTAAGATTATTATTGTTTATATTTATCATCATCACCAATGCCTTTCACCCCTGTCTGGGTATAGGCCACATACAAGCTCCTTCCATTTATCTCTGTCCTGGGCCATCCTTCCAAGCTCTTTCCAAGTGAGCTTCATCTCTCTCATGTCCCTTTCCGCACATTCCATGTGGTCGTTTGTACAGGTGATTGTCTTATACAGGTGGCAGTTTGTACAGGTGATTGTCTGCTACAGGTGGCCATTTGAACATGTTTGACTGTACCTTGGTTTGTCTGGCTCTGACGTTTTCTTCCCTGTTCCAGGAACGCTGGTCATATCTGCCTATGTCGGATGTCGGGACATCACAAAGACGGTCACCCCTGATCTCAAATGTCCTGATGGCAAAGGTACGTAGTGGAAAAATTCTGGTGCTTGTTTTCATTATGCAAACTACAGTCTAACTTTCACATAGCCAGCGGATTTTAAGGTCCCAAAATTTTTCTTATGATAGTCATAATAATAAATAGCATTTGTATAGAGCAAAATCCCGCTCAACAACAATCTATTTTACTACCCCAGCAGACATGATAACATTCTGAAACAATGTAAACTTCCTGGGAAGTATACACATTGTATTCTTTGTATTTAAGGTAATTTTGAAGTGCTATGTCTTTTTGAGCATTTGAAAGAAAAATGGAAACACACCGCATAAAAATGTTCTCAACTATTTTTATCATTAAGGGCGAACGTTCCACTTCCTAAATGACTTAAATTGTGTTGACTGTGGCGTAAAACAAGGACTTCCATGAATTGTTTTTCCTCCTCCCCCCTCAGGTGTGCTCCTGTACCTGCCCATGGGTGGCGAGGACCACTGGCGCCTCGGGGGTAGTGCGTTTGCTCAGTGCCACGGACAGCTGGGGGATGAGGTGCCGGATGTTGAGGCTGGCAGGCTGGTCAAAGGATTCAACGCTGTGCAGGCTCTCATCGCTGGTGAGTGAGTTTTTGTTGTAGTAAGGTTTTAAGAAATGCTCTAAAAAAATCTAGCGCCCATATCTCCCCCTCCTTCTTTTTTATGTTTGTTACTCTCTTGTAACACCTCTAATCTTCTGGCACTCATATGACCTTATGCAGTTGCGAGCACCGTAAAACCTCTACTAAAACAAACATAAGAAATGCTCTTTATGGTCAACCCTTCTATATATAAGGCTGTGAATGCTGGACTATCACTAAAGACAGTGAAAATAAAATAAAAGCAACAGAAATGTGGTTTCTTAGGAGACTGCTGAGAATATCGTGGAAGGAAAAGAAATCAAATGAGGTAGTGCTTGATGAAGCCCAAGTGGGACGCTCACTGTTAAAAACAATCAGGAAACGACAAATGCAGTTTTTGGGACACCTGGATAGACATAAGGGTCTTGAACATCTAGCTCTCACTGGCAAAATTGAAGGCAAACGAGGCAGGGGTAGGCCCAGAGCAACCTACTTAGGGAACCTAAACAAATGAGTAATGGGGAAAGATCAGGGAAATGTAGCTTTTTTAAGAGCATCTGAGCAAAGGAATGAATGGAGAACCATGATCGCCGATGTCTGTCGCAGATCTGGCTTTGGATGATGATGTAGGTTTTACGGTGCTCGCATCTGTATAAGGTCATATTAGCGCCAAGGGATGGATGTCAACTGAGAAGTGCAAACGGGGAATCAGGCTTACTCTGCTCACCTCTCTAGCCTCAACAGCGCAAAGTCTACTTCGACTATGAAGGCACCCCGGAAATAGCGGGTCACAAGAGAGTGACAAACTTACAAAAGAAGTAGAGGAAGAATGACGATAGTAAGGATGAGGAAAGAAAAAGCAGTTCTCCCTATGTTATTCCGGCACAGTATGAGCGTGACATTGATAAATCAGCCCATTTACAATTCTACTCTTCATAAGAATGTGTTAATATCCCCCCTTTGGGAATGGCCTAAAGACACTTCAGTCAGCAGCACTGCCCTGGTTTGGGGTGGGGGGGGGGGAACCAGTGGTGAGAATCCCAGATGTCAAGTTGTGTTTACAATGACGGAAACATGCCTTTTTCTTTTTCTTTTTTTTGTCCTTCAAGAAATATGGATTTCACTGATATGTTTTATAAGGTTTTGTTTTTTCCTTCACTTTTTCCCCATCATCTTTCTTCACCCTAACTATAGCATACTGAATATTGAAATGATTTATAAATATCCACAATATACGAATATTAATCTGTTGTCGTTATCTCTCCAGAATAATAGTCAGTGGGTGGTTGGCGGGTGCTCTGGTGTGGTTTGCTCCTTCTTTCCTATCGAACACATCTATTTTCTTTATCTCTCCTCTTCTTTTTTGTGTTTGTTACAAATGTACTCTCTTGTAACACCTCTAATCTTCGGCACTTATATGACCTTATTGTGTTGCAAGTGCCGTGAATGTTGTGTTGACTCAAGGGAAACTGGCAAAGGACAGGACTCCTTTCTGCCGACATCTTTTTGCCACAAGATGAGAAGAAGGATGTAGACCAGACTAAAACATAGTAGTTTGTCTCTCACTCATGCACCGTGATTCTTCCTTTCTCCGTGGATGGTTGGAGGGTGCTCTGGTGTGGTTTGCTCCTTGTTTCCTATCAAACATCTATCGTCCTGATCTCTCCTCCTTCTCTTCTCTGTATGTTACTCTCTTGTAACACCTCTAATCTTCGGCACTTATAATGACTTTATTGTGTTGCAAGTGCCGTAAAACTCTTACTAAAAACTGAAACTTGTTCCTGTCTCCAGACAGGTTGCTGACGGCGGGTCATGACGTCAGTGATGGCGGTCTGGTCACGTGTCTGCTGGAGATGGCCTTTGCCGGGAACTGTGGCCTGGAGCTGGACATTCCTGTCAAAGGTGAGGACGACGCCGACTTTTTCACGCCCGCTTCTGATTTTGTTGTATCGCGACCTCAGTGCTTTCTTGTCTTGTCCTATCTCCATTTTTAATAGCAGTGAAAACAGTTCTTAACAAAGAGTGAGCTTAAGATGAAGGGAGATAGGACAAGAAATCACTGAGGTCACGATATGCGATTTCGAAAGATCAGGATAATGGGAGATTTGTTGTATGCGATAAGGAAAGATCAAGACAATGGAGATTTGTTGTAAGTGATAAGGAAAGATCGGGACAATGGAGATTTGTTGTAAGCGATACGTAGTATAAACAGCCGTATGCACTGCTCACAGCCGAACGCTCTGTATCCCGAACTCTAGCATGGAGATCATCAGGAGAGAATGCGTCGCTGTTTCGGGCTCTTCTTCTCTACAACTTTTCTGAAAGCGATAAGGAAAGATCAGGACAATGTGTAGATTTGTTGTACGTTATAAGGAAAGATCAGGATAATGTTGAATTATTGTACGCGATGGGGAAAAGATGAGGATAAATGAGCTTTGTTGGGATTATCCGAGCAAAGGAATGAACGGCGAGCAATGATGGCAGATGCCTGTTGCCGATTGGGCCCTTGATGATAATGTGGGACTGAATTGTTTTTGCAAGAACTACAACAATTGCAAGAGGAGTTACTTTTATATTTGATCCAATGATTCTAAATGTGTGACCATTGAAATGTCAATGCCCTACTCTTTTACCCTCCCCCCTACTGTTCTTTGTAGCTCCCCGACGAGAGTGTGTTTATTTTTGGTCTGTTTGTCTTCCATATTTCTTGCGCTTGACGACTGTAATTATGTTGGATGTTCTTTTTTTTTTTTGAAGGAACTCGATGAAAGGTTTGTTTTTTTGGTTTTTTTCTGCCTATCTGTGTCGCTTTTTAATGACCATTGATGTGTCGATGTCTTTCTCTTTACTCAAATTCAATTTCACACCCCCCCCCGTGGGCGGTTGGCAGGTGCTCTGATGTGGTTTGCTCCTTTCCTATTAAAAAAAATCCATCATCTCTATCTCCCCTCCTTTTTTTTTTGTTTGTTACTCTCTTGTGACACCTCTAATCTTCGGCACTTATATGACCTTATTGTGTTGCAAGTGCCGTAAAACTCTTACTAAAACTACCCCACCCGCCCCTTTTATCTTCCAGCTCCGGCCATGAAGGTGTTGTTTGCTGAGGAGATTGGTGTCGTCCTGGAGCTGCGGGAGTCTGACTTGACGACGGTCACCTCGAAACTCTCTGAGCGCCAAGTTCCCTTCCTGAACTTAGGCAAATCTGTGGAGGGTGTGAAAGGAAAGGCTGCAAATGTAAGTGGGATTTGCTCATTTTGTTTTCGTTTCTTCTTTTTTCTTCTCCATGCTATGTTCTCTTCTTCCTCCCCCCTTCTTTCTCCTCTTCCTCCTCCTCTTCCTTCTTCTCCCCCCTGCTTCCTTCCTGGGTGGTTGGAGAGTGCTGCTGGTAGGTCCTTCTTTTCCTTCTCTTTACTCAAACTCCAAACATTCTTTTTGCTACCCCCGGGGCGTGCCACTTCGCCTTTAGGCCATTTCCAAAGGGGGGGGGGACATTAACCTGTTCTTATGCACAGTAGAATTGTAAATGGGCTGATTCATCGATGTCGTGCTCATAACTGTGCCAGAACTGCAACATGGAACTGCTTCTTTTTCTTTCCTGTTCTTTACTATCGTCATTTTCCTCTACTTCTTTTTGTATGTTTGTCACTCTCTTGTGACCCGCTATTTCCGGGGTGCCTTGATAGCCGAAGCAGACCTTGTGCTGTTGAAGCTAGAGAGGTGAGCAGAGTAAGTCTGATTCCCTGTAAAGACTTCTCTGTTGACATCCACCCCTTGGAGCAATATAAGGGCCGCGATGAAAGAAATATATGCTGATACGGTCGTGCCCACTACGGATGGAGCTCAGAGCGGCGTAAAACCCTCTACTATAATTAAACTCAGAAATCAGCAACTGACCATGCTGGATGTTTATGACCCTTATGAGTCTTTACTTTAATTGCTCATCCTGAAGAGTACCAAATTAAGGAATATTCAAACAAGGAGAAATAACTACGATAATTAACAATAGTGAACCAAACACAGTTATTGCGTATTTAACAGATATTACAGAGATGTGTGTTGCACCTTGCACTAAATGATTCATTGCGTGGATGTATTTCTCTTTATTCAGATCAGTTTATTCTTTCCTTTGTTCTGGTATCAGATTGACATTTCCCTGGACGGTGAGTCGGTTTTGCGCTCCCCCATGGTGGAACTGCGAGACTTGTGGGAAGAGACGAGCTTCAGACTGGAGTGTCGCCAAACCAACCCGCACTGCGTCGAATCGGAGCAGAAATCCCTCAGCACGGGCACCACTCCTTGCTACGGGCTGGAGTTCAACCCCGACGAAATCCCCGCTGTGCTCCAACCTGCAGGTGAGATTGTCGAAAATGTTGATTGATTTTTTTGCTCTCTGAGAATGAAGTGGACACATATTTGTCACGACGTGGTGGAATCAGGCGCTCGTCCATTTTTGTGCATGCAGAGTTATTGGTAGTTCGATCCCTATGAAATCCCCGCTGTGCTCCAACCTCCAGGTGAGATTGGGAAAATGTTGCTTGATTTTTTACTCTTTGAGAATGAAGCGGACACATATGTCTGGTCAGCAGCAAAAGCAATGCAACAGGTACATTTCAAACCCCCCTAAACAATTCAGGAACACAAATTTTATCATTTCATCGTATTAAAATTTTTACATCTACGGTCCAGCTGAAAACAACAGAGTTGTAAAATCTGTATTACAGGCTTGCCAACCTTCCTGAATTTTTCAGGAAATTCCAGAATTGCCATCGTTGCGCGATGTCTCCCCCCAAAAAAAAACCTTATGATTTTTTCTTAGAAAAGGCATAGAAATGCTGAGGACGAAGGAATATGTGTAGTAGCTGTACTGTTACATTCTCATATCTCTCTCTCTCTCTCTCTCTCTCTCTCTCTCTCTCTCTCTCTCTCTCTCTCAGGAGCATTCAAAATTCCAGAATTCAGTATCTCAAAAGTTGGCAAGCCTGGTATTATTTGTTTGATTAACTAAACGACACATATATTATTTTTCGAGTTAAATGAACGGTATCATTTCTTGGACCAGCCGATGCGCCCAAAGTTGCCATCATCCGCGAAGAGGGCAGCAACGGTGACAGGGAAATGGCGGCTGCGTTTACGCTGGCCGGCTTTGAGACGTGGGACGTGAACATGGAGGATCTGGTGAGCAAGAAAATCTCGCTGACCTCCTTCAGGGGCGTGGCGTTTGTTGGGGGCTTCAGTTATGCCGATGTCTGCGGCTCTGCTAAAGGTAACATGTTGTGTTATGTTCATGTGGTCCTGTGTTTGATACATTCTCCGTAGCTGCCAACCGTTCCGTAAAAAAACAGAACCGCACCTTATTTTAGGGTCTGTGTACGTTTGGTGTTTTCTAGGTTGGTGCACCCTATTTTTTAAAAAAATCGGTGAATTTCTCTTTAAAATTCGCTCCTGGCGGTGCCGAATCATGAAATCCGGATCTGTTCAAGAGTTGGGCATTGGCGGGTTTATTTCGGCAGATTTTTCGTCCAACTTTTAAAGTCTCTCAGCGCCTTTTTCTGATGGAGTTTTCTACTGCTGCAAAATGCTTTGTACCAAGACGCGCTCTTTGATCCAGTCCAACTTTTCATTCATTTGCCAGCCTACTGAAACGTGAAAATCTTGGATCTAGTGGACAAATCAATTTCGCCAAGCTTTGCCATTGTGTTTGATTGTGACTGTGCTGTGGATTTATGCAATCCTACCTCGCTTGAAATTTCAGTGTTGTTCAGATGTTCTAGAATCTAGTTCTAGTCTAGTTTAGAGATCCAGCCAACAACTGAGAAATGTGAGAAATGCAGAATTGAATCTAGATCGTGCTGCCCAGCAGTCTTCTTCCTTGAAATCTTTCTTTTCCAAGTCAGTTGATGAAGATCATGGCATCATCAGAGCTGAAGCTGAGTGCTTATTCACTGCGTTTTTCATTGAGCTTAATGTGCCTCTGTCAGCTGCAGATCACCTCGCTCAGCTGCTGCTAGCAAAGCCTTCCCTAAAAGCGAGGAGATAAAGAAGTACGCTTCGCTTTTTAGAGGTATAACTTAATTACGGAGCCTTCGGGTTGGGTGTTCCTTATTTGGGTTTTCAAAAGTTAACTGCTATGATTCTGTTTTGTGGTGAGATGAGCTCTCTATTTTGCCGACTTCTCTTTCACTCAACTAGAAAAACTTTTCTCTCTCCAGGTTGGGCTGCGACGGCCAAGTTCAACAGTGTCGTGAGCAGCGAGCTGCAGGCGTTCAAGTCTCGCCCGGACACGTTCAGCCTGGGTGTGTGTAACGGCTGTCAGCTGATGGCGCTGCTGGGATGGGTGGCCCCGGACCACACCGGTGAGATCCGCGGTTTTCTTTCTTTTTCTTTTTTTTTTTGTTTTTTGTTTTTCTTCCTTTTTTTGTTTTTTTTTTCTTCTGTTTTTTTGTCCCTTGTCCCATTTGAACCATCTTGTTTCAAGTATTCATATGTGTCACGACGCGGTGGAATCAGGCGCTCGTCAGTTTTGGTGCTTGTGGAGTTATTGGTATCTTCTGAAAGCTTGTTCATTTGCCTTGCTTTCAATGAAAAAAAAATACCCATCCGTCTTGAACAGAAGTCAAGATATTTCCCATTGAAGGAGGTGAGGACACCTGGTTTCTGTGGTGAAATAAGCAAGAAAATGGCCGTCAAAGTTTGATAATTCCAATAGCTAAAGAGTCCTTGAAAACTGAAAAATGACATATTTTGTGCCTTTAATCAACGTTTTTCCGTAAAATTCACATGAAAATATATTTTTGTATGGACATAAAAGGAGTTGAGCTGTTGTTGTTGTTGTTGTTAGCGATCCAGTTGGGGGGGGGATGAGTTTTTAAAAAAAATTGATAAAAAATGCCAAACTGGCGGAAAAATGCCTTTCTCAGATTTCGTTATTTTTTATGAGCGCCTGATTTCACCACGCTACCTCACATTGGTTTGTTTGTCCCGTGTTCCCTTTTTATCTAAAGTGTCAAATGTTGGAGGGTCAACTAGTAGCTGCTAACTATTTTGTCAAAAACATCAGAAAATTAGTTAGAAAAAGTGTAACAAAATTAATTTTTTTTGGTGATCTTTGTTTGATCCTATGCTTCAAAATGTAAACTTCAGATGAGTTATTGGAAAGTTTTATTGTTTATTTATACAAGAAAAATAAATTGTTGAAGTACTTCTTTATTTCCAGGAAAGAAAAATTTATGACTTTTACTATAGTGAGTTTTTTGTTTTAATGTTTTACGCACTTGCAACACAATAAGGTCAGAAATGATGCAATAGAGAGAGGATAGAAAAAAGTCATTTTGGTACAATAATTTTGTATGATTCAGTTGCTTTCTCTAGTAACATGTTGCCTTAGAATTCATCTGTGGGTGATTGGCGGCTGCTCTGCTGTGGTCTACTCCTTCTTTCCTATCAAACATCTATCGTCCTGATCTCTCCTCCTTCTTTTTTGTGTTTGTTACTCTCTTGTAACACCTCTAATCTTCGGCACTTATATGACCTTATAGTGTTACAAGTGCCGTAAAACCCTTACTAAAACTAAACAAAAATAGAATTCATGTAGTTTTTGCTCTTTGTCCTTGACACATATGTGCGGTGTGCTGACTAAATGAGTTACTTCTCGCTATCCACAAATGGAGATATTGGCAAAAAATCGACACAAGGGTCAAATTTGTAGAGTTTTTATTAATGCCATATTCTTTAACTATAACATGTCTTTTATTATTTCATACTAATAATTTGTCAAAACTTCACCTATAAGCATGATGAATATATCTTTTTTCCTTTAGGTTAGAATCCGACAATTGACTCATTTTGTCAGCACGCTTCACGTATACAAGTGCCTGTAATGTTTTTTGTTTGTTCCCTCGATCAGCCAAGGAAGAGTGCTCTCAGGGCGTGTTTCTGGACCACAACACCTCGGGCCGGTTCGAGTCTCGCTTCAGCACGATGCGCATCCAGAAGTCTCCGTCGATCATGCTGGACGGGATGGAGGGAACGGTGTGGGGCATGTGGGTGTCCCACGGAGAAGGTGGGTCATTCATTTGTTCCATGGGTTTTTGTTTTTGTGTGTGTGCTTACGTTGTTCCTTACGGTTTTTGTTTTTGTGTGTGTGTGCTTACGATGTTCCTTACGGTTTTTGTTTTTGTGTGTGTGCTTACGTTGTTCCATGAGTTTTTGTTTTTGTGTATGTGCTTAATTTGTACCATGCGTTTTTGTTTTTTATGTATGTGCTCAAGTTGTATTATGTGTTTTTGTTTTTGTGTCTGCTTAATTTCTACCTTGCTTTTATTTCTGAGAGTTCATTTTTGTTTTGTTTTTATAGTATGGCAGGCCCCTTTCAGAGCACAGTTTTGGGCCATGTGGGTGTCACATGAAGGTGTGTGCGTGGTTTATACCATGCGTTTATTTCTGAGAGTTTATTTCGTTTTCAGTAATCTGCAGCGAATTGTGGTGTTTGTGATCATAACCAGCCGCATACTTTTATTTTCTTTACTTTTCTCTCTTTCCCAATGTTTATAGATTTGTATAATTGTTTAATTCAGTACTTAAAACTTTTATTTTTACTGTTATTTTATGTGCATTTTTTTTTAGATAAAAAGGTCATAATTTGTGAGATTGGGGGAAAAGTTAAATTGCAAGGGAAAAATGTCTGCCTTAGTAAAGCTTCTATCAGATTATTTATTTCACAGACTCAACAGAAGTCAACATATATTTTAAAATATTGTTTTTGGGTTGTTTTTTTGCCATTTCAGGTCGAATGGTCTTTAGCAAACCAGAAATCAGGACGGAAATGGAGCAGAGCAACTTGGCGCCTGTCCAGTACGTGAATGACGCTGGCGATCCGACCGAGTGTTACCCGGCCAACCCCAACGGTTCGCCAGACGGCCTCGCGGCCCTGTGTTCCCCCGACGGGCGGCACCTGGCGGTCATGCCTCACCCCGAGCGATGCGTCTGGGCCTGGCAGTGCCCCTGGATGCCCCCTGCCTACAGGGAAAAGCTCAAGTTCTCTCCCTGGATGAGAATGTTCCAGAATGCTTACAAGTGGTGCACACAGAGTGCTTGAGAATGTTCCAGAATGTTTATATGTGGTGCACACAGAGTGCTTGAGAATGTTTCAGAATGTTTATATGTGGTGCAAACACACACACACAGCTTGAGAATATTCCAGTATGCTTATATGGTCACTTTTAAGCACAAGGGGGCTATCCCGAAATGTGCTGTTTTGAGAAAATCGAAAGTAAAGTTTTTGCCCCTTGTCCAGTTTCTTTAAAAGATGAGGAGAGTTTTCTGTATAACCAAACAAATATATGCACCAATGAAACCAAACTTCTCCTATAGGTAGGGCAATGCCCACTTTTGGTGAAGGTAAAGATTTCTGGAAAACCCTGAAATCTGGGTTAGCCCGCTTGTCCTTAAAAGCGACCTTATGTGGTGTGCACACTGCTTACGAATATTCCAGTATGCTTACACATGGTGCGCACACACAATACTTAACTTTTTATCCCCGCAAGCTGCTCCCAGTGGCTCGCGGTCGGAACTGCTATGTCGGTGAGTCGCTGACAGCGGCTCGGGCACATTCCTTTATGACGACCTTGACATCAAATTACTTTTTGGCAATTGCTGATAACAGGTCTCTTGTATAGGGAGTTTACTCATTGGATGAAGAACCATCAAAATAGGTTCACTTGTTTTGATTTAATGACCCTTGTAATGACATTTTTGTCATTTTTAGATTTAGTACCAAAGAAGGGGCCCAGCATAGTGGGTTTTCCCCCCTCGGAGATAAAGAGTTAAGAATGTTCCAGAATGCCTTCACGTGATACTTACAGAATGCTTGAGAATCTCATGCTTATTCCATTTGTGGAAGTTCCAGATCTTTCTGTAAGTCGTCAGTGCTGCTCAGTGTCTGTTTGTTTTTTCCTTTCTTGTCTCGTCCCATCGCTTGGTCTCCAGGTTTGTTGAGCGTCGACTCTTCAACCCTCAGTGCCATTGAGGGGTTTTGTGCCGATTTTCTGCTAGGATGTAACGTACGTTGTTTTCCTGGGTGCCATAATGTGCTGTTTGAAACATATTCTTCGCTTGTACTTCACCATCATCATCATCCAGTGCCAGATCTGCGACAGACATCGGCGATCTTGGTTCTCCATTCATTCCTTTGCTCGGATGCTCTTAAAAAAGCTAAGTTTTCCTGATCTTTTCCCGTTACTCATTTGTTTAGGTTCCCTAAGTAGGTTGCTCTGGGCATAAACCCTTCCTCGTTTGCCTTTAATTTTTCCAGTGAGAACTAGATGTTCAAGACCTTTATGTCTATTCAGGTGTCCCAAAAACTGTATTTGTCGTTTCCTGATTGTTTTTAACAGTGAGCGTCTCACGTGGGCTTCATCAAGCACTGCCTCATTTGATTTCTTTTCCTTCCATGATATTCTCATCACTTATAAGCTACTTATTAAGGCTTGTTTAGTTTTGGGCTGGGATTAATTTTGAATTTCGTCAGGGCAACTGACTGATATGAGCAGGGCCGTCTCATCTTCAACTTTCAACTGCCAATGTGTCTCCAGTGTGTGCTGTGTGCTGAGATGACCCGAGATTTTCATCCGCTTATCAGAGATGGAGAATGTGAAGGGCTCCATTGTTCATCCCAGGAATGGGAAACACTTTTTGGGGTGGAAGGAAAGGAACCCTACTTGTTCCCAGAAAAAAAGTCTCTAAGTTTATAAGCCTGTGGAACAAATGAACCTTGATTGAGGAGACCCTTGTGTTATGGCTATGATAGTTTGTGTCCGTTTTGTTGTGGTTTTCTGTTTTTAAATAACATTTTTGGTTCCTTTTTTTGGGTACTTTACACTGTATTCGCAGTCGCCTGACTTCTGGAAAACATACCCTGACTTCTGGAAAACATACCCTGACTTCTGGAAAACATACCCTGACTTCTGGAAAACATACCCTGACTTCTGGAAAACATATCCAAACCTCTGTTGCGAGATGAAATTATCGGTGACTACAGTTCTCACATAGTGCGTAGCCAGATGCTCTCTGAGTCCCCAGGCAAAACGAGAGGCATGAAGAGTGGGAGTCGCACGTTCAGCCATAACTTTTTCAATTTGAAACTTCTTTGAACGGGCTCTACTGAAAGAGAAATCGATGAAGTATAGCTAGGCTGGGGCTTTGCAACATTTTCATATTCACTATATGGTGCCCTAAAAGTGACAGGGTTAAGTCCATGAGGCATAGTGTTGAGAAAATGGGTTTCAAAGATTCGCACTCTTCTAGTTACAATGTTTTATACCTTATTCGATAAGTGTCAAACTGATTTCTAAAAAAGATTTTAAAATACATGTCAGATTGTTTCAAGCCATTGACACTGTGTGCAGGGCATCTATGTCGGTGATGTGCAGTGTGTAATTCTTTTTTCACAAAAATTGGAGTAAAAATGGTGTCATTCTCAAGGTTCGATATGCCGGAAGCTGTCAGCAGCTTTGAAGTGACGTTTTTGTATTCCACGTGTTAATGTAGTGCATTATCGTTGAATTGTCAGTGTTTGGGGATTTCGATCTTTTTGACTTTGATTGCTTCATGTAAGCCTTTGAGTTGCTGAGTTTTTCCAAAAATTGTTTTTAGCAGATGAGATTATTTTTTATCACATATATATTGCATTATGTTGGCCAATGCTTAAAGCATTTATCTCTTTACTTTTTACTCCAGTTTGCTTTAGTTTTTGGTATTTTGACTCATTAAGTGTGTTTAGCACAAGAAGAAAAAATCTGTGTATTCACTTCTCGTTTTGCTCAGATTGCCACAGATGTGTTCTTACAACGGAGATATAAAGAGCGACTGTCTTTGTATACATTGGCAAAGTAAGAATAGGTTTGTCTTTTCTAGTGAGACTATACCTGTCTGCATTTTGCTCTGAAGTATGTATGATTTTTTAAATAAAGATGTGTCAAATTCTAATAAAATAAAAACAACTTTGCTGTTGTGAATGTATTATAGTGCCATGATTGTCTCAAATATTTCAAAGTCAGTTTTTTCTCGTTTTGATGTACCAGCGTCTGTGGTGTGGCAGTTTGGTGCTTCGCTGTTGCATGCAGGAGACCCGGGTACAATTCCTGATTCCCAAAGGGGGGGAATATTAACGTCATGTTCTTATGCACAGTAGAATTGTAAATGGGCTGATTTATCAATGTCATGCTCATACTGTGCCGGTACAACATATGGGGAACTGCTGCTTTTTCTTTCCTCATCCTTGCTATCGTCATTTTTCCTCTACTTCTTTTGTATGTTTGTCACTCTCTTGTGACCTGCTATTTCCGGGGTGCTTTGATAGTCGAAGCAGACTTTGTGCTGTTGAAGCTAGAGAGGTGAGCAGAGTAAGCCTGATTCCCCGTTTGGACTTTTCTGTTGACATCCACCCTTTGGCGCTCATATGACCTTATGCAGTTGCGAGCGCCGTAAAACCCTACGAAAACTAACTAAAAGACAATTCCTAAAGATGGAGAAATTTTTATGGAGTATCTTGTTCCTTCTGCGGGGATGTTGTATCTCTTTTGGCCGGGTTGGTCCTGACAGGTTGGGTCAGAAGCCTGCCTCCTTAATATCTGTATTGTGTTGATGGCTTCCGAAATACATCTATATTTTATAATGAAAAAAATAATTTTTTAAAGCATGGGGGAGGGCAACCTGTCTCCGACGTACCTTCTGTTTGTGATGATGTGGTGGAATCAGGTGCTTGTACGTGCTTGGGTATATTATGGGGCTATGTTGGTATAATCTGAAATGTAGTTTTTTGTCTTATTTTTAAATTAAAAAATACCTATCTATCTTGAATGGAAGTCGAGATATTTTTTTATTGGAGGTGAGGGTCGCATGATGTCAGCGGTAAAATTAGCCAGACAATGACTGCCAAAGCTGGAGTGTCCTTAGAAACTGCAAATTTACATTTTTTTTGTGCCTTTGATCCTTTTTCGGTAAAATTTACACAGAAATAAATGGTTTTAAATACCCATAAAAGATAGGGGGGGGGGGGAAATGTTTAAATTTGTAAAATTTGCTCAGCCTGTGAAAAAATATCGGTTTCTTCTGTTCATTATTTTGAGGAGAGCTTGATTTCTCCAAGATGCCTCCCATTTTGTAAAACATTTTGCAGCATTGTTGTAGTAAAGTTGCACCGATCGTAACAGTTCAGTATTCAGTAGTTTGTCTTCCGCTTTGATGTTTTGAACTCTGTGCTGGTTTAAGTTTCTGCTGAATACGATGAATCATAATGATCATTTTGTCTAACTGAATTTTGGTTCTGGTTGGTTGCTTTGAGATTTTGTGTAGAATATTGTTTATATATATATTATATATACATTATGTACTAATAGACCTTTTGAATACAAAACACACAATTAGGAAGATAAAGGCTATGCGCGTGTGTACACAAAAAGATTTTAATATTGTCTTAAGTCTACAGACATTTTTTACCGTTATGTTGCTACATTATTTGGTTGGCTAGTTTTATGTTCTTTAAAATTAAACATTTTCCCCAATATTTCCATCTACAAGCGAGAACATTTTTTCCCTTCACTTCAAGTGTGCTTTCTCTCTCAGCTCAGTTCTCTTCCTCATGGGAAGTCAGATGTTGTGTAGGAAAAAATGACTTAAATAAAGTCTTTGTTCATTTCATATCAGGTTTGTGCCTTGTCAGAAATCCACCAAGTCTTTCCAGCTTTCTTGAAGTGTCACTCGCCCCAGTTTACACTGTCTATAGCTGTAAGGCCGAACGTTTTGAGTTTTCTTGTTTTCTGACTGTAAGTGTGCTCAAAAGTGCTGTAAGAACTTGGCTGTTGCTGGGAAGTCTAACTGAACAAACTCTATTTCATATATATCAGTATTTTCTTTTTCCAGAAGTATTTTATGACTTAAAACTGGCTTAAAAAATGCATGCGCAATTTTTGAAAATTCCAAACTGAATAAACTCTGCCATTAACTCATGGCGCTCTGGTGTGGTTTGCTCCTTCTTTCATAGCGAACATCTGTCGTCTTTATCTATCCTCCTTCTTTTTTGTATGTTTCACTCTAGTAACACCTCTTTTCTTCGGCAAATATATTACTTTTTTTGTGTTGAAAGTGCAGTAAAATGCTTACATTAACTAAAATCCATGACCTTAGTTTTGGGGTGTAGTTGCTTAGTTGTGATCTTCTCTTTCAGCGCTGATTGGGAGACCTCTCGTTTTGCCATTTACCATATAGGCTACTTATAGTGTGGTA